TGCACCAATGCCAGTGCCTACCTAGTCCACCTTCAAAGCACTTTTGGAATTCTTTCTGGAATGACCTTCACAGCTGTCATCAGATTACCCTTGATGTCTTGAATGTCATCAAACTGTCTCCCTTTCAATATTTCCTTTATCTTCAGGTAAAGAAAAAGTCATTGGGGCTAGATCAGATAAATAGGGAGGGTATTCCAATACATTTATTTGTTTATTGGCTAAAAACTCCCTCATAGACAATGCCATTGTCATGATGCAAGAGTCAAACCTTTCTCATGCCAAGATTTTCAGTTAAAATTTTCCTGTTACTCTATCACATTTACTTGGTCTGCTGTGCTTCTCATAGTCAGCTGACAATTTTGATGCACTATTCAACAATTTTTGTAATTTGTCGTCAGTTCTGCTAGTTACTGGCTGTCCTTACCTCTGTTAATTGGTAACACTTTCTCTCTTCTCAGAAAAAACATTTAATCTATTTATATACTACCATTTTCTTCATAGCATTACCCCATAGCATTACTTCATAGCATTTGAGGTGACATGGACTAAGAAGTCCCTAATTTTACTTCCACTCTTGCTAAGTTTCACAAGAAATGTAATGTTTGTTCCTTGCTCTAATTCAAGCTCCAACATTCTCAGATGGGCACAGAAAAACTCACAACAATAATTTATACCACTCAGCAAGACATTGCCACACATCAACACAAAAACAGCTGTGAGACACTGATATATCAAGGTTATGATACCGTACTGAGTTGTTCGTACAGTGCTGCCAACATAAACACATGAAGGCAAGTTTGTAAATGTAACTGTTAGACCATGTACAACAACCATTCTGATAGTTATTTCAGAAAGAGTTCCAAAATTGCTTTGAAGGAGCTGGCATCAATGCATAGCTTCCCAAGGGTACTTCAAAGGTGAATATAGTAATATTTAACAAGGAGGCATGTAGTACTTTTCCTAAGATGAATTCATGAACTTAATTGTCAGACATTTGTATTACATTAATTAATTTTCAGATGCTAAACAAACTTTGTGTTCCTGAGATAAATCCTATTTAATCAAAGCAAAAAATTCTTTCTGTACATTGTTGGGTTTAATCCACTTGAATTTATTAAGGAATTTTGCATCCATATTCAACAGAGATACTCTGTAGTTTCCTTTTCTTGTGATGTCTTTGTCTGCTTTTGTGATTGGCCCCATAAAATAAATTGAAAATAATTCTATCCTGTTTTTTGAAAGAGTTTGTGAAGCATTACTGTTAATGCTTTTTAAAATATCTGATAGAATGTCACTTGTGAAGCAATCTGGACCTAATTTTATTTCTTTGATTATTAATCAACCTTTTTGCTTTTTATACCTTATTCAGATTTTCTATTTTTTCTTTTCTTTTTTTTGAGAAAGTCCTAGCAGTTTTGTATTTCTAAGAATTTGTTCATTTAATTTATATATTATACAAAAAATACTACTTATATTTATTTTGTTTTCAAGTAAGTAGCAAAAATCCCTCTTTCATTTCTGACTTTATTAACATGAATGTTCCCTCTTTTTCTTTTTTTTAAGCCAGGTTTGTTAAAATGCTTGTCAACTTTTTTCATCTTTTTTAAAAAAACTTTTGTTTTAACTGATTTTTTTCTATTTTTTTATTTTGACTGATTTATTTCCATTCTAGTTTTTATCATCTCTTCATTTTTTTTCTTGATTTGAATTAGCTTGCATTCTTTTTATCAGTGTCTTAAGAAGAAAGGTTAGGTGAGGTCATTGACTGCAGATCTTTTTTGTTTTCTTTTTTAAAAATAGGCAATTATATCTGAAAATTTTTCTCTAACACCTTTAGGAATATGCCATATTATTAATATGCTGTATTTTTATTTTCATTCATCTAAAAGTATTTTATAATTTTTCTTATGATTTGGTTTGAACTATTTATTTAGAAGTATGTTGTCTTATTTTTACATATTTGTGAATTTCCCAAAATTCCTTTGTTATTGTTTTTTCATTGAATTCTATTGTGATTGGGAAGCATGCTTTGGATGAGTTAATTTTTTTTAAATTTACTGAGACTTGTTCTATGGTCTAACATAGAGTCTATTCTGGAGAATATTCCTTGTACACTTGAGAAGACCAAGTATTCTTCTGTTGTTGGGTAAATTGTTCTACAGATGTCTGTTAATTATAATTGGTTTGTAAGGTTCCTCAGGTCTTCCATTTCCTTGCTGATCTTCTGTCTAATTATTCTATTACACTGTTGATAGTGGCATAGTGACATGTTCAATTATTATTGATGAACTTTTATTTCTCTCTTCAAATGTGTCAGTTTTGAAATATGTATTTTGGATTTCCACCAGTAAATGCATATATGTTTATATTTACTTTATCTTCTTGGTGGATTAATCATTTTATTACTAAAAAATATTTGTCTTTATAGCATGTTTTGTCTTAAAATCTATTTTGCATGAAATTAGTATAACTGTGCCAGATTTCTTATCATTATTATTTGCATGGAACATTATTTGTGACCTTTTTTCTTTCAATCTATTAATGTCTTTGAATCTAAAGTGTGCATCTTTCATATAGCATGAAGTGCATCATGGTTTTTCCTCCATTCTGCAAATCTCTGTCTCTTAATTGCAAAGTTTAGTCCATTTGTATTTAATATAAGTAATGATAAGTTAATATTAATGTCTTCTGTTTGCTATTCATTCCCCATATAGTATCTTTTTATTTCTAAAATCTTTTATTCTTGCCTTATTTTGTATGAGATAGATATTTTCTAGTTCAACATTTAAATTCCTTTGCCATTTAAGTTTAATTCTAATAGATTAAGGAGGTACAAGTTAAATTCTTTTACATACATAAATTGTATAGTGGTGAAGTCTGGGATTTTAATATACTCATCACCCAGGTAATGTACATTATAACAAATAAGTAATTTTTTTATTCCTTATGCCCCTTGCCATTTTTAGTGTATATATATTTTAATTATGTTCTTGGTTATTGATCTACAGTTTTCCATTAACATCATAATGTATAACAATCTAGTTTGAATTAATGCCAAATTAATTTCAATACTATACAAAACCCTTCCTAATATGGTTCTGTTTTCCCTTTTAATATGGTATTGTCACAAATTGTATCTTTATATGTGTGGACCTATCAACATAGATCTATAATTACTTCTTTATACATTAATCTTTTAAATTATGTTTTAAAAAGAAAAGAAAATGATATATATATATGTACATTCTCTCTTGTATTTACCTATGTAAATACACCTTTATTAGTGCTATTTTTTCATGTGAATTTGAGTTACTGCCTAATGTCCTTTCATTTCAACCTTAAGGACTACCATTAGTATTTATTGTAAGACTTGACTACTGGCAA